AGTCCAGACACATCGGCTTGGAACAATGATCCAATACCCCATTAATGGAGGTCGAAGTCAAATTATGGGAGACATCATGTGAAAACATCATCATGAAATAACAGAAGAAGTACTCCTATTGACGACAGCACACCCAAACCAATCAATCAAGAAAATGATATGATAGCTTAGGACATAAGCCTAAGGCATAAGTGTCATCTTCATACCACACGGAACTCACTAATCAATTAAATTCCTTCAAAGGGACGGTGACACGCAATTTTAAGTCATACAATTTAAATTGACATGATTAGGACAACAAGTTTGATTCCATCATCTTGTATAATTATCAAATTTCAGCATTACAACACTCGCGTTTAGCTCAAACCAATAGAAGTTGATCAAAAACTTCAAGTCAATTTTTGTCATCAATTAGCATTTTGTAGAATAACATTGGACAAAAATTGGACCATCTTCACTTCATACACTGAATACTTTTACATGTTATGTTATGACGAAATTTTGAATGCAACACTTTTAAATAACCCGGAAAATACATCAGAAATGGACGTCACATATGTTTTTTTTAAAAATAATTCAAACTGTATCACATACTGATTTTTGTGGTCTTGAAGAATATGACGCCACATCCTTGGTAGATTCAATCAATGGCCAACTTCTTCACGTCCACACACTTTCTTAGTGTTTTCGTAACTTCAAAAACCATGAAGCAATGCAGATGGGCTGAGCGGCTTGTCCATTTTATTCGATCCATGAACAATTCGAGCTCGTTTTGATATGAGCCATGGGCCAAACAGGCTTGACTCGTGAATATGCAAGCTAAAAACTCAACTAAAATTAGAAAAAAATATAAAAATCGACCAAAAATCGTCAATTAGGTAAGTTGAAAGAATTACTCAAAATTACATTACACCGTTTTGGGTGATTTTTAAACCAACCAAAATCGGTACCCAAAAAACTAGCAGTCACAAGTTCTTCTAACTCTCATAAACGGTGTCACTCAAATTCAGTCAAAATCGGTGGTGGGGGGAAAAAAAATTCCCAAGTAGGCCCTTACTAAAATCAATATGAAACTTATTAAACCATTAATTTCATTGTAGTTGAGAAAAAAAATTAAAAACAAAAAACTTAATAAATTCTTAAATAAAATATATTTTTATATTAAAAAAATCGTCATTTATGAAAACAAGAAAAAAAATTTATTTAAAAACCTAAGAAGTATATGAACATTTATTTATAACTTTGTAATAACTTAAAAATTGAGATTTTAAATTAATTTGATATTTAAAATGATTGTTCATTAATGTTACACTCTCTACATTTTAATATTAATGGACTTTAATATATTTGGATAACTAAGAAAACAAATGTAATAAAGGTTAGAGGAAATTACACCCAGTCCTACTTTTAAATTTCCATTTTCATTAATCATATATCAAGTTTAACTTTTCTAAAATCAGGTTTATTTTAATTTATTAGATATTAATTATATTATTTTCACCACAATTAAAATAATCATAATCATAATCTAACCTAAAACTCATTTCTCTCCTCCACTGGATTATCTCCTCCCGCCGCCGCCTTCTTCTCCTCTCGGTTTCTCCTCCATCTCTCCTCCACTGGGTTATCTCCTCCAGTCGTTGCCTTCTTCTCCTCTCGATTTCTTCTCCAGTGAGTTCTCTCCTCCCGCCGCCTTCTTCTCCTGTCAGTTTCTTCTCCTCCCGTCGCCACCGTTCTTCCCCTCCCGCCGCCACCGTTTCCACCAATGAATGGGAATTGATTTTCGTCTCCTTCGTAACGCTGTCGCCACCGTTCACAGGTTCTCCGTCGTTTGTACATTTTCCTACGGATCTACATCATTCTCCTTCCCTATCCCTCTCTCCCTCCGCGACGCTGCTGCCACCATTCACGGGTTCTCCGTCGTCTCCTTGCTTTTCGCCGCCGCTTTGGAGAACTCTATGTTCGATCCAACCATCGGCGCAGATCTATTGTTTCCTCTTTTATTTTTTTAGTGTTCGAGTTGATTTATCCGATGGTTGTGGTGTTTGTATGTTAATTTGTGTTGCAGATCTGGGGTGGTTTCGGGCGGTGGTTGTGTGTTATGGGTGTGATGTGTGTTCTATGTTTTGGCGGTGGTTCTGCGTTTTGGAAGCCAACCGGCAGTGGTGATAGTGTTTTTGTGTTGTGGTAGTGGTGTTTTTTGTGTGGGGTGTTGGTTGTTGCGACGGTGGCGTTGGAACTGGTTGTCGTGAGATGGTGGCGATTTTGTGCCGGTGAGGATATTGTTGGTGGTCTGTGATCAAGTATTTGGTTATCTGTGACCAAGTATTTAACTGTGACCTAAAAATTTGACAATATGTGACTGAAAAATAATCTGTGACCAACAAGTTTGAAAATATGTGACCAATGAAAGGAACTATTTTTTTTAATAATTTGTGACCTAAAAATTATTAATTGTGACCAATAAATTGATAAATTTGCGACTTATAAATTTTGGGATCTGTGACCGATGAACAAATTGTGACTTAAATTTCTAAGTTGTGACCAATAAAGGAATTGTGACCTATGAAAAATTTGAATTGTGACCTAATTGTATAGATCTGTGACCTCAACATATTCGCCGGAATCGGATCAGTCATCGGAAAAGTCGTCGGAACGATCGTCGGAGAAGAGTTGTGACTGGAACGATCGCCGGAATATGCCCGGAGTTGAAGGGGTGGTGGAAGTGGGGGTGGGTTAATTATTTTATAGTAGAATTAAATATTAATAATAAATTAATTTAATAATTATTATTTCATAATTAAAAATTTAAAAAAACTTGATTTTTGAAATTTGAAACATGTTTTGATATTTTTGAAACCTAAAGGTTATTCACTAATTTTATAAAAATGAATAAAAGGGTTAACGGACTCAAACACTTGTAAAAACGAAGTTCTATGGGAGCCATGGCTAATTTTTTTCAGGCGTGCTCCTGACAACAATTCCATAGCAGCGATGCAACTGCACAATTGCTACAGTGTTTTCATAATAGAAATCGAAAAATGATATAGAGCAAAATCTCAGTGATAGCGCGAAACAACGAATTTAAATGAAAACCTTTAGAACATAATTTTTGAAATCCACCAAATTATGAAAAAATAAATTCACGAAATTTTATTAATATAAGATGAACAAAACAATGAATTAGACATTTATTTATAAGAGTTTACATGAAAATCTAGTTTAAATAAACTAAAATTGCAAATAATTCAAAATAAACTAAAATTGCAAATAATTCAAAATAAACTAAATGACAAAAATAACACTAAAACTTTAAAAACAGTTTTCGAATCCTAAGCAAATTGAGATGGCCAAAACCCATCGTACAACACAGCCAAGACGTATGTTCTACTCGCCTCATCATTCTCTTTCTGGAATGGTGTAATGAGCCCAAATTAGAACTCGAGCGTCACACCTTTACTATTACCTTTTTTTCCTTTCGATCCAATTCTTTTTCATTCCATTCAATCATATGTTCTACATCATTTAGTACGTGCATTATTCATAACGAAAATTCAAAAGCTTTTCCCCAATATGTCAACCATTACGTATACATTGTTAGCCTATTGTATATAAATTCCTAGTATTTACAAAAATATGACTGGTTAATTCAGTAGATTGATGATGCGATCAAGATGAGTTTGTATGTTGAGTAATGCACTTCAACACTACTTCTGTCAAGCATCAATTTAGGTGACACTAATATTAGATAGCATCATTGATGTTGTATGACGTTATTCTTGTATGTTCAATCAGACTATGTTATTCATGGATTGTATGAGCGCGCACACACGGTTTTCTAGTTTAATCAATCACATAGAATTCAAAACTAGTTCATTCGTTGAAGTCCCCAAATATGGACAAGTCAATCAAATGGTAATATTTCAAAGAATATTGGTGGCCTATCATTTTCAACATATTCCAATGATCCAAAATATTTGTCCTACAACCATAAATTCATTCAATGAGTCTTCATATATATTCTTTGAATTGGTTTTTTCACGTTCTTACTTATGCAACCTCATCGATGTATATAGCGACAGATTCTCAACGTAAAATATTATGTCATTTTTATTGAAGTCAAAAGACCGACATATTCAACAACAAAAAAATGCATAATCTATAGGAATTATTGTATGATCATTTTACCAAACGTCAGAAAAGGTATGTGTAACATAACAAATCAATCAAGCACACAGATTGAGAACAATAAAACCAGGAATGGAGTTGGAAATGCATGTGATTGGCTCTATGTATTTCATTCTTTAGACAACAAAAAGGGAATTTCTTTTGCACACGAGAAGGAAAAAAGAAGTATTAAAATACAGTGGTGGGGGTCCTACAAAGTGATGATAATGTTAAGCACCAAGTATGACAAGACATTAAAGACAACCAAACTTGGGTCTCCCTTTCCACGTATTTTAATTCTCTTCTTTCTATCTTTCTTCTTTAAATTAAATTGAATAATGTTATTCATCCTTACTATGGTTGAACTCCTCCAGTCTATATGACAATTACATGGCACTAAATGATAGACTCAATTAAATGAGTCATGTGACTTTATATTTAAATGAATCTATCATTTAATGCTATGTAATTACAACATAGATTGGGGCTCAACCCCAGTGAGGATGAATAGAATTACCCAATTAAATTTGAATGAGACAATTTAAAAAGTAATTGATTTAATTATGAAATAGGTAGTGCTTTTCGTTTTAAAATTTCCAGTTAAAATTTGGAGTTCATCTTAAAATGTGAGGACGAGAATAGAAGAGTTTGTTAAGATGAATTTATCCACAATAGAATATTAAAGAAGGCTCTCCATTAGGGTAGTTGGTTTCGTCATTTTAATATATTAAAGTATGTGATGGAACATTACTTCCTTGTTTATATTGAGAAAACCCAACACCACCACCATTTTCATCGCCAAGTTTGAGAAAGCTTAAGATTTCTCGTAATCCATGTCCAGGATTCATCCGACTGAAAAGTTCTCTTCGGCAGATCCTCATCCTCCAAGTCCGCCGTATGTCTTCACTTTGTGGAAGAGATCCACCATGAATTTCCAAGGAACTGACGGATTTACAGTTTTTGATCACCGCGGCAAATTGGCTTTCCGGGTGGAAAATTACGCCAGAAATCGGTGTTTCGGATCTATTGGCGGACTGATTCTCATGGACGGATCGGGGAAGCCTCTATTGACTGTGAAACCAAAGGTATACACATACACTGCATATATTCATTCATGTGCATGTTGATTTATGAGATTGAGAAAACCAAAATTAACCCTAGAAATTTGTGTGTGCAGGCATTGAGCATGAAGAATCAGTGGAATGGATACAGAGGCGAACTCGATTGTTCGAAGAATGCGACGCCGCCGAGGCTATTCACGATGAGAAGACCTTCTTCAAGTCTAATTCATACGAGTGCATGCGAGGCAGAAATCCACATCGATGAAAGCAACCAAACAGCGCCACCAGATTTCAAAATCGAGGGGTCATTTGGGCGACGGAGTTGCAAGATCACGAGAGGTGCCACCGGCGAGGAGGTGGCTAAGATATCGAGAAAAACAGTAAATGCGACTCTCGTGTTAAGCAACGACGTGTTTACTCTAATGGTGCAACCTGGCATAGAACCAGAACTTGTAATGGCCTTCGTAATTATCCTAGATCGCATTTGTATTAAGCCATTTGCCCCTCTTCTATGTTCGTAACTATAATGTTTCCGATGGAGTTTGCCAATTTTTCACATCTTTTTTGAAACTGCATGCTGAAATGTATTAACAAATCCTCAAAATGGGTGGATGAATTATCGGGTCTCGTCTCGTCTCGAGTTATCCTATTAACCAGGTTGTTAAAAAGCAATCAAACACCAATTCAGGGGATAGTCGAGGATCACCCAAACTTGTTCGATGAATTAAAATGCATGTTAATTTCATTGGACAAGTAAGTCTATGTACACCCTACTGTCTTTTAAACTCGTGTTAAACATCACTGATACTAAATAGTATTACTCCATTAAAAATTGGTTACTTTGAACTTAATAATATAGCATTGCCCGACAATCAAGTTTTTAAGCAGTAGGTGCATTAAACCGATCACTCATGCTATATTTACACTCTTCTTTACACATTTTTTTACACTCTTCAACATGACATGTAATATCTACATTCTTAATTGAGTAATGATATTTATCATCATGGTGATAAATTATCGATAATGTGACAATCAATTATCCCCTACATTTATCTCTCTCTCATCCCCCTCTCTCTTTCATATAAATTGAACTATTGAGTTTCATTATTCCACGTGGGCTGTCACATCAACAATGATTGATTATCATGATGATAAATCGCATTATTGTTCTTAATTTTGAACTCATTTATCACATCACTATACAGATTTCCTCCACATAAGAAAGAATATTGACCAAGTTGTCATACAAGATGTACATATAACATTATTTTTAAACTAATAAAAGCTCCATATATGCAAGAAATAATACTAGTCACCTGCAAATCGAAGATAGATATAGAGTATATGTAACGCTATTCATTTGTTTATTTGACAATATGATCATTCATATATTATTCAATAAAGTTGAAATGCATTTTATTCATTCAATAATATGACAATGACCATGTTATCACATAAACCAATGATGATGGTTGCTCTCTAGATAAATAGCATTATGGTATATTTATCCATGCATAGAACTTGATAAACTTTAATTTATGTGAAGAAACGCTATATATTTTGTCAAAACGCGACTTATCCACCAAAACGTGTTTGTATTAACTAATCTTCAATTTCACGCAATAGTACAAATCTTCCGCGTTGGCAGGCGGAGTTATAACAGAAAGGATTTGACAATAGACATTCAGGTTTCAAACGAAATCAAAATTTACAGCTTTTCGTTTTGTTTTATTACTTTGGCTCGTTCCCATGTTTCAAATTCTTTCTGCATAAGTTTGAACAGTTTAATTTGAGAAAAAACTAAGTTCAATTAAGGTTGCTGGGTCAAATTTGCTTTCAGTATTTTTCAAATCTTGTTCCGTTAACGATCCATTTAAACTTGCATTGCTTTACATAAGAGAGATAATTGCAGCAAAGATCCTCAACTTAAGGGTGTTTTACTAAGGGGTCCTCAAGCTTTAATTTTTGACAGCTAAATGCTTAATCTATCACTTTTGTAGCAAATTAATCTTCATCAGAATCCAACGTATACATCAATTGTACATTCATTAGAACAACGTCTACATTACTCCATCAGAGTCCAATGAGATTCTAACTTGAGATATTTATTTGATGAAACATTTTGCCACGATTTGTTGGAAGATTGAGAGCCATGACAACTCAGGTCGTGTCTCCAGTAGTCGAGGATGAGCAAATGGACGTGACTGCGAAGAATGCAACCTTTGGCCAATGATCTAAAGAACAGTCATGGAATACGAATCAAATAATAAATATTGTAATAAAACTGCTCATTGTTGAAGCAAGTTATAGATGAACACCTTGCTTTAGTTATGGCTATCCTGAAAATGACACAGTTCCTTGCTGCGACTTCTCAACAACATTTCAAGGATATGACTGTACAATTGGGAAGGAGCCAGATGGAGCATCAGTTGTTCAGGCCAGAATTGAGCAGCATTTCGGCCACTAATCCCATAGTTGCATTCCCACCTCTTTCAAGGAGAGTTAGAGCAAGTTCAGTCTCATGCCATCCTCTTAATCCATTAGCCAATATCCGTAAGGTCTCCTGCTTCACTTCCTGAATCCATATAGGCGCAAAACTCACAGTTAAACCCACCAAACAAGAGACATAAGCTTTCCAGGTGATCGGATCACATTCAAGCAATAAGTCACCATTTAGCACACCCGCTATAAAGTCCATGTGGGTACCAAGAGTTCTAGATCTTCTGGAAAGTCCCCGTGAAGGTTTTTTGGCACCAACACCCCATACAAAAGCCCCAGACAAAACTAACAAATACGCCATTGCATATCCTTCCAATATCTGGCATACTGCACTCGCCTCACCCCATTTTCCTTTTCCTGCAGAGAGCAACCAAGTAGGCACAGTTTCTTGGTATAACTCTTGGACTAGGCGGAGCCCACCCGCTATGCATAAGAGACTTGCACCAAGTGTGGCCACCTCCTTTGCTTGGGAAGCAGCGACAGCTAAAGATGGTTGACCAGATTTCAAACGTGGAGAGCCTGTTCTTGCCCATTGCATTGCTGAGTTGCGTGAAAACTCAACTACAAGAGCTACAATCACATTATTCACATGTTGGATGTGGCGTATTGTGCGACAAGACCGAAGATACAGAAACCCAGGTGCTACAGGGGGTTGAAGGCCACGGGCTGAGATGAAGTTACCCAAGAGACTATTTACACTTTTTCCAGTTGACAATAACGAGGTCGAAGGATGGAATGATCCAAGAAATGACGTAAAGCAACTCCGCAAAAGCTGAGAAACAGCTTCCCCATTCTGCCTGAAAATAGAGCGGGAACAAGATACAACGATAAAATCATGCCAGCGATGGACTTTTTGGGCCCACAAAGAACCAATTATAGGCATGCTAGGCCATGCACAGCTCGCAGCACAGTTCTCCAAAGCAGGTCCAGCAACAGCATGGATGTACTCCAAGCTCTTGTCAAGTTTGAAAGTAATGGTTAAGCTGACTAGAGCTGCCATGGGCAGTGGAAGCATAGCTGGTAAAACCCCTGCAGATGGTATTGACGTTCAGAAACCAATGTACATAAATATTTCAAACCAAATTAACTATCCCATAAATGGTCACTCAAAATGATATGCCTTGAGCTTTTTGCAAGATTAAAAAGCTTTAAGCTATTGGTAGAAATAAACCTGGAATATCAGATAGAATATTAGAAGGTTGGAAACGTTTACAATTTCAAGGATCCATTTAGGCAGAAATGAAGATTGCAAATTTAGTGTTTTTAAAGTGTCCAAATTGTCATCCTAGTCATCATCTCCAAGAGATCAGCAAAAAGATCTGGCTGAACTGTGTCAAAGAGTGGAGAACATACAACCTTAAAGCCAAAGGAATCAATTAGCAAGAATGACAAAGCAGAACTTCACAGAGCAAAAGATTGTGGTGTTTGAATAAAGAGTAAAGCCTAAGCTAATGGAGATGATAAACCAAAGACCAACATTAGCTGAAGGTCCAACAAGGATAATGAGCCTTACGAATTCAAATAGAAACTATTCACAGAGTGCACAACATGGGCTTCTTATAATGAACATTTCGAGGACTCATTGTTCATAAGGTAATACTTTGAAAGATGGTTCTATTACTGTTTTATTACATCCTAAGAAGAGCTTTATAGTCATAAGTTATGGTTATACGCGTAATATAATAAGATATAAAATAAGAGGAAATTGTCTAAGGACCAAGTTGGGGAAGGAAAAAGAAAGAATACCTCTTTTTCCAATTTTTTACAAAATCCCTATATAGCCTATTAAGTGTATGCTTGGGAGTTCGGAGTTTTCTTTACTGGTCTTGACCATTTTTTGGTAGCGCCGGAGACGTTAGGAATCGTGCTTGAGCTTTATAGTCATAAGGTATGGTTATACGCGTAATATAATAAGATATAAAATAAGAGGAAATTGTCTAAGGACCAAGTTGGGGAAGGAAAAAGAAAGAATACCTCTTTTTCCAATTTTTTACAAAATCCCTATATAGCCTATTAAGTGTATGCTTGGGAGTTCGGAGTTTTCTTTACTGGTCTTGACCATTTTTTGGTAGCGCCGGAGACGTTAGGAATCGTGCTTGTTAGTTTTTGGGACACAGGTTTTGGGTGATTTAAAAACTACCCAAAACCAATGTATTGCAATCTGGGTTATATTTCTCAACTCACCAAATAGGTGGTTTTTGGCTTTTTTTTCAAAATATCTTAAAACAATTATTTTACAAGAAAATAATTCAATAATACATACAAAAATTACTCATAAACAAAATATACGACAGCAAAAAAATTACTTTATAACTAAAATTTTACTTTTATAAGTAAAAAATCACTTATAAGACAAAAATTCACTTTTATGTAAAAAATTGCTTATTAAGTTCCCAAAAAAAAACCCTACTAATAAAATAAAAATTCATTTATAAAATATAAAAATTTATAAGTAAAAAAGTCACTTATGTAAAAAATTACTTATAAGTACAAAATTATCTTTTAACTTTAAAATTTACTTACAAGTAAAAAAATTACTTATAAATTAATATTTTAATTAGAAGTAAATATTTCACTTCTTGAATTAAAAATTAATTTTTTATGTAAAAAATTACTAAGTAAAATATCACTATAAGTAAAAAATATTCATACAAGAAATTAAAAATTCCACTAAGTCACATAAACGTTTACTCCATATTTTTCACGCATACCTACATATTTTATATATGGGCATATATGTAATTTTGTTCTTTCAAAAAACTTTTAGAATTGATGGATAGTAAACTCCTAAGCATGGATTGGACTATTTTCAAAATCGCTACTAAAAACTACCCAAAACTAGACCTCTCATAAATGCCCAAAACCCCATAAGCGGTGCCCCAAAACTCCCAAGCAGGCCCTTAAAGTCACCCCAACTTGCATCTCTTCCCCATCCATCCACCCCTGTCAAGTCAATTCTGGCACCTTGTGTTTTACAGGCGTTTCATTTTCTACAATAAGTGTCGCAAACATTGCACAGTCACAATTGAAATTGTTTGTCAGGGATTGAGAAATCAGAAATCTCACTACTTCCCAGCACACCTGAGGTTCCAAACAATTTCATAATGAAGCTCAATTACAACTGGATGTTCTAACTCAAGACACCATTTGCTACATCAAGCCTCGGCTCCTACATCTGCCTTGACCAATGCCCTCACCAATAAGTGTCCACTGCTACATCAGTCACTACCAATGGCCCCCCTTTTCTTCTGCTTACTAGTCATTAAGGGAGCAAAAGGGAAGGAATGGAATGGCGAAGCAGAGGAAATCGAGTGAGGCAAGTGAAAAGGGGTGGCAGGGAATGGGGAAAGAGGACAAGGGAAGGGGAAGGGCCGTGCAGGATGTGGGTGGAAGAAGGCAAATGAAGAAAAAAGCCTTCTTTTTTTTTGAAGTAAAACACCAACACAACCTTAGTGGGTTTTTAGGCGTCACATGGAAGGATGATGGTGATTTGAATTATCCAACCGTATATTTAAAAACACAAACCACGAGAACAAGAGGGAGGGAGGCGTAAACCTGACCTCCTAAGAGCAAAAAGATGTAACATACGAAGAATTGTAATAAGGAGGGAAGTACTACCTCCAATACAAAACGAGCAAATGAAAATCAAACAAACGATTTTTAATACTAGGAAGTCCATATTTATCTATCTGAACAAGACCTCGAATACGTCGTGGTAAGTCAAGGGGACCATATTCCTGATAAAGGCGCTGATCCTACCCCTCACATGCTAGTAAATCGACTACCTGGTTTCTCCTTCTGATAAGTGTGGGAAACAATATCACGGTCAATAGAGAGATGGTGTCTGAACTTTAGACATTTAATGTATAAAAATGCCTACTAAAGAAAAAATTGTAGATGGGTGGTTTTTTATCAACTTGACTACTAAAAGGTCTCTTGAAAAAACTTATCTATGAATAAGAACTACTATCGTCAAACAACTTACACATTACAATCCTAGTTTACCTCTTATGATAATTAGTCTTTAAGAAAGTATCCCTCCCGTTATTTTAGCTTTCTAAACAAATGTTAAAGTTTCTTGTTCTCATTAAGATTTTCACATGCAAATAGGACTACTATTGTTGAACGGTTCAAGCATTGACTATGATAGTCAGAATTATTGAAATTTATGTGTTTCTCTGTCTAGATTCTTCTCTCACATCCTCTATTCATCTATTCTCCCTCTTCTCTTTGTTTTCTTCTACTATTCTACATCAAAGATACAATAAAAGGACACATGCTGGATAGAAAAGATTCTGAACCCTACCAGATGTAGTAGTTGGAACATTAACACCAGCGGCAGAAAGTATTTCTTTCATTTCAGACTCAACTGACATAAGATTAGCTGCAGGACTAGGCCAGTCTGTTCCATTCATTGGTACCGGTTTCCATAAGCCACGTGTCACTTCTGCGGAGAAGTACGTGATTATTGTGGCAAGTGAAGCAGGCAGGAAGTCCACTAGGTCCCTCAGGCCTGAACAGTGAACTCAAAAGATTGAATATCCCGTCAGTGAAAATCTTATACTGCTATCACAATTTCTTTAAACCCGTGATATTTTCAAAATTCTTGGGATTGAAACAAAGAAATCATTGGAGTTTTGATTTCTACATAGTCCAACAGGTCAGATGCTAAGAAGATATCTCTAGCATTAGATTAAGTTCAGGTAAAAAAGTTGAACAACTAAAAGAACTAATAAAAATTATGGTGTACCCTGGATAACTAACAAGATTTAAATTTGCTAACCCGTTGTCAAGTCCCTTGATGAAAGTCTTCCGTAAGCACAAGCTGTTAAGATTTCCTCAAGAACAAAAGGAACGGCTTCCAAGATAACCCATGCTGGGAGAAAGGGTATTTGGCCAGCATCTTCTGCACTGTTTACAGAGGGACCTCTTGTGATGCATGATGGTGTTGAAGAATTATCAGATGAAGTCCCACTTCTTGTCAGTCTACCATAGATCATATTTAGAATCTTATTAGCAACTTGATGAATAGGATTTCCACTGCGCAGACCAGAAAGTGTTGAGGCTATACAGGACCTATTTTGACTGTACCAAGCCTGTAATTTTGGATAAGAATCTATATATATAGGTCCATCTGATATAGATCTGAGCAAGTTTGCATTGCCGATTCTTTCACCTTGAGAATCACCATTGGAAAATTGGATGCGACTATTTCGTAATATCAAAAGATACTCCAGCGTGAGTTCACTTCCAATTGCCCCTCCACGCCCAGTGATACAGTGCTCAACCGGAGGTCTATAAAATTTCCACAAGCGCATCAAAAAGAGAAATGCCAAAGAAAATACCATGTATGTTGACGACTCATTATATGTGCTCATCTTGAGACTTGATGTTGGTACAAGAGATCCAAACACCTCACAGAGTGGCATTAAAGCCGCTGCAACTTCAGGGACCTGCCAGATTGAATAAGATTAACCTATTAAAGACCCTGGAGATGACGTCATGCACCGAACTTCTAGATCATGGTAACATTACATGTGTGAATGTGTTGAAAACTAAACATAAAAAATATATGCCCCTCTGTAATGGATAGCTAAGTCTTTAGGTGAATTACCACAAAGCCGCAAAGCTTCTGAAACCCAAGTTTTGGCGCCAGTCATTTATGAGAAAATGTGCAAAGGTTAGGCTTTTGATAAGAAATGCATCGCATTTGAGAAAATGTGACATGTTAGGCCTTTGAAAAAGTGTGCAAGCATAAGATTAATTAGTTGTCAAATGAAAAGTACATCAAAAAAAGAAAAAAAAACATATCGCTTCAAAGAAAAGAAAAAGAAAAATAGAACTTTACCATGCCATGCAAGGAAATAATGTGAGCTATATCAATTGTGGTAGCACTGTGAAGGACAGCACTAAGCATTGGCATATATTCCACAAGATGACTCCGGGATTCAGTAAAATTTGGAGGTACAGGAGGACAAAGAAGCTTGAGGACGAAGTGAATGACATGTTCCTGCCAAACAATATTTGTAAAGAAGAAAAATTTATCTTCAATACAGAAGTGAAAATAACTTCAAAAAATGCAAGAGGCTATATATGGTCATGGACAAAAAGGGTTAGTATTAAAATCAAATAATAAAATCAAAGCGCATTTTCACAAGGGAAACATTAACTGCTTGTGTGAAGGTGATTAATTGAAAAGTGTTTTTTTTTTCAGAGAATGTGTGGTAAAAAACATGGGAACGTTATAGGGATATTTGAAAATGAATTTTTTTTTTTTTTTTTTTTTTTTTTTTTTTTTTTTTTATTTTTTTTTTTGGTTTTTTTTTTGTTTTTATTTTTTTTTTTTGGAGAATGTATGATTGAAAATGAGTGTGATGGAAAGCAATTTTCAAATAATCACTTTCAAACAAGGCAAGGAAGAAGAACAATTATTTAAATAAACATTTCGCGTGTAAAGATATAAAATCTGAAATAGTTTCAAGCACCTTGATTTTTAACAAAGTTCTCGAGCAAATAGTGTGATGACAAATTGGTTTGAATCATCAAAATCAGAAATCATATTCTCATCCTTTTCTCTCACCCAAGCATGAAGCCTTTCATTTACTTATCTAACAGAGGGATAATGCTTTTATCGGTAATTGTAAACAGAAAAGTTTTTCCACCTAATGCCAACAGATTCTGAAAAGAAAGATGATTCACCTCCATGTTTGGTCAAAGAAGTTCAGCTTTCTGAAGAAGCCAGGTACAAGCAATTGCTTAAATGCAATATGGTGCATTGCATTTTATGCAGAGTTTGCACCTGGTTTAGTTAGGTGGCAGTATATGGGAAGTCATACCTGGATATTCCATCCATGGCTGAGAGATGAACCACATAGAATCTTTGCTGCCGCTAACTTCTCATCCTCCTTCCCAAACAATGCAATATGATATAACTTCTCAATCTCTGCTAAACTTGACAAGGAGCAAAGAAGACATTAACTCAATAATAAAATTTAACTGATAGAAGTCGAATGGTTAGCCTTTAAAGGGCACTTTCACCTGTTCAAACTTTAGGATCACTGAGTCTTAAAATATCCAGGTAATCCTAAATGCAGTTAAAGGGCTTCTAGTGTTACCCTATGTCAATTTCAATTTAAATTGTCTTAAATTGGAAAAAAAATTCATTACCGTTGAATTCATTTATTCTAACATTATATAAGAAAATAAATTTAATTCTGTTCATAAATACATTTACCATTTAAAATGACTGAAAATGTCATTTAGGCTCATCTATTTTTAAATAGTGCACAGATACCTTAAATAAAATTTTTGAAGCTATTGATTGCCCTGTCCAAGATGCCAAATTTTGTAGGCACTTAAAGATTAAGTTGATCACTTATTAATTTCTTCCAATAAAATAACGATTTTATTTCATTGCCCTCCAAAGGAAAAGCAGGACTTACTCAGTATTTTTCCCAAAAAAAGTGATGTACGAAATACCTTGATGCTGGATTTCTGATGAGCAAATTCACTAGGTTATCTGTCAATGGAGCTCCGTCCATAAATGATGACCAAGGAGATCTTTGACAAGGTGATGAATGTGACTCAGAGATTGATGCAGGAGCATAACCAGGCCAAAAATATACCAAGGTGTCAATTAAGTTTCTCGCAATGCAAGCTTCCACTATAAGATGCCTCAAGTCACCCCCTAAGAACAATAGGTAATTAATTACTTTGAAATATATAAGAATAATCAGTCTGGGAAAAACAGGTATATAAAGAAACTTAAATTAGGTATCTAGTTTAAAATTCTTACATGATGAGAATTGAAATATATTGTACATGGAAACAAAATGACCTATTTTCTTTTAACTTTCTTCTTAATGGAAGGGTTTTAGATGCATACTAATAAAGAGCAAAATCTGTGAAAATAGAGAAATTTCACAGTTTGATTGAAACTTCATCCTAGAGTAAAGTCGATTAAAATGAAAATGAAATCTTTGTTGCAAAAATTCGTTATAGGAACAACTCAAAACACATGGAAATTAAGTAACCTTTACCTTCTTTGACAAAAACTTCACTGTAATCACCTACATCAATCCCATCTTTCACATTTTTAGCCCTTCGGATGAAACGCGCAGCCTTAGCAGCTGCATTATTTGATGCATCAACAACTGATGCAGGGGAGCACAGGAGGGTATGATACTGGCCTAGAGCTTGAAGAGAAGAAATTAGCCCTTGTCTTCTTGAAGTAAGAACAATGCCACTCTTACCGCGTTCACAATCAGGGTTCAAATGCTTGGGTGTCGTACCCTCTCGAAGAGAAGAACTATAAAATGTTAAATTATCCTCAAAAACACGAGCAATTGCCAAAGGGACAATAGACAATAGAACGCAAAGGCGAGCCTCAAGATGAGGAAAGGGCCCTTCCAAGGGGTCACGATCCTACAACAAAGCATGGTCGATACTTGTAAATGTAAATATCGATAACATTTTGAATAATTGAAAGGAAAATGTTTCTTTGAGTTCATCTCAACTCGTTGAACTAGCCGAAGAGCTGAAAGCCAAAGTGCGAGGAAAGTCTCTTGCCAGCTTGCCCTATTAAATACTTGAAGTGTAATGATAGTTTCTGAAATTAGGTCAAAAGATTCAGGAAATGTCAAGGCCTTATGGAACACATATAGTCAAATATATGACAACTAGACTATTTAGTTTGAGAAATTTTCACTAAAAGGTTTAAGTTGGATTAACCCTGAAGTATATCAATAGCTGAAGTTACAGGGAATTGTTTGCCATCCATTGCATCCTCCATGCATATGTCAAAAGCAACCCAGCAATTGAACCGACCAGCTACAGAATGACAAGGTGAAGCCAATTTACAGGATCCATTATCCAAGAGTGCTCCAATGAGCTGGTGCTTGCTCAGCTGACACTCCAGAACTGAGGCTCTGCGGATATTTGTAGACAACTTTGGTAGAAGTTGGCTTAAGGGCTTCAAATTTGGTGACAACCTATGAGCTTCAAGAAACTCCATCTTTCTTAGAAGGCCATTAAACTTTTCAGGTCTATCCATCACCAGCCCCGCCAACAAAAAAAAAGACACAGAAAATAAATTACCAAACTATAATAACAATTACTTTTAAAAAGAAAATAAAGAAAGCAAAAGGTGAAATAAGGAAAGAAACATGAATGGGGCATATAATTCAGAAATTGACTTTCTCAGAATAAGCATAGCCCAAGTGAGATAATACTGTAGATTCAGTAATAGAACTTGTCTAGACCATAAGAATAGTTATATGAGTAGACTTGATCCAACTGTTTTCTCATGATTGAACACAAGAAGCCCTATAGATGACAAGAGTTGAAAGGGAACATATATCTACCAGTTGTTCATCATACCAGAAAAGACAAATTATTTAGACGTACTTAATTTGATTGAATCACAACTAGTACATGATAGCACAACAAAATGTGTAAGCACATTTCTCCCAGAAAAATTGCAAGGAAATTCCCTGCAGACAAACTACAGTCACAAATACCCATGGTTTATATCATTAAATCATGTTGCATTGTCTGATGCGAGGCACATCCGCTTACAATTGAGGTTGGGGTGATTTTTATATCCCTCCCTTTCCACCTGACTAAGCTATCAAGCTATTGCAATATTTCAAATTCCTAGCAAGTACAGCATTCCACCATAGGGATATTTACCATGTCAGACAATGGCATGAGAACTGATTTAGCTATGAATGTCATCCACAGTAATAATGGCTTCCCTCTATCTGTTACGCATGACTAGTAAGCGATAGATGAAAAGAAACCACAGCTACATACATTGAAGATTTCATCTAACAGGTTTGGCTGAAGATAACCTCAATTTGAGCCAGAAATATGGTTCATCAAATATGGTCAAGAACATTACATCACCCTCATTGGATCTTATAAGAGTTACAAACCACCAGAGGTAATTCCATCCCGGCATTGTAGATATGTTTTGAATGTTGAGTCAATGAGTGTGCATGCATGACAACATGGGAGAGATACCCACAGAGGATAAAATTTCACTATGTTCTATGAAACCTTTAGTGATTTTGTTAATATATAGGATGTATAATAAATGTTTCCAAACCATGAGAAGAAGGGGAATAAACCCACATTTTGAGTCCATTCACTCTTATTTTGTGCTTTTGTGCAGATGATAACCAAATCATTGCATATATAATTAAACAAGAATTTGGAATATTTGAACCCCCACATCATATACGTGTTATAAAAGAGCCATAAGAATATGAAACAATCGCCAGTCCTTTTATGCTTTATTTCTCCTAAAGTAGACAACTGTTTAATTGAAACAAATATAACATGAATTAGTCTAAACAAATATAACGTGAATTAATCTAAATCTGACAAGCATGGAAGCAGAACACAAAAGAGGTCAGGAGAGAGTTATACGCAAACTAACAACAGAGTTGGACCTACAAATTCAAGTGAACAAGTCGAAGTAAACCCAAAGCTCTTTTGTTGTCTGTTAGCTTTGTCAAAACCTCCAGGCACATAAAAGCATTTGTTCGTCTTATCTGTTCATGAAATTCATTTGTTTTATGGACCTGATTCTCTCTAAAGTCTATGTCCATTCTCTGGGTATCTTCACTTTTGGTTACTTCACATGCTCCACCTTTTGATCCCATTTGCAATCCCAAATCATCCAATGTGCTATCAATTAAGTGAACAATAATGCTAAATAAGCACAAAACCATTGCATGGCCAAGTTCAAAAACTTGAAAGCTATATGTCTCTGAAAGCTGAAGAGCAACATCTACGGACTTCGCTATCCTGTGAAACAGCAAAAATGAGTACGTTGTCAATTTCTTTGCATCTATCTTTGAGAATTTTATTTTAAACCACAATGAGAGGAGGAACTTTGCTTTGGCTTTTAATTAAATTGCAAAAACAATCACGGCACTTACTTCTTTTTAGAAGCATCCGTTCCAAGAGGTATAAATGAAAATGTGTATATGCTTAGAAGTTCAAGGTAGAGTCTATAAGCCTCTGGTTGAGACGTTCGATATGGAATAATTCTGTGCAAGAAAAATGGTGGCCATCAGAATTCATATTCTACAGAGCAACTAAAGTAGGACATTTATGCTCAGGCATACTCACTCCAACTATTTCGTTTAGACATAGCCCCTGTTTGAGCCCCATTTTTTGGGGAAAAATGTGTTTTGGAATAGTAATTTTTTGGAGAATGTGTGGTTAAAAAATAATGAAATGTTTTGGGTTTACGTGTAAATTTATATTATGGGAGAATGTGGATAAAAATGAGTTTTGAAAAAATAAATTTTTGGAAAAATGGAGGCCAAACACAGGCATATAAAGTCTTCTTGTTTAATATATCTAAAAAATATTTGCAAGATTTGAAATTTTTAATGAAATGCTATATCCAAACAAGGTCTAACAAATATTTTGTTTGATTAAACTTGATAAACCTTAGCCTTGTTTGAGCTCCATTTTCTCAAAAAGTCATTTTTTAACGCTCATTTTCCATCACATTCTCCCATAAAATAATTTAACAAGTAAACCTAAAACTTTTCCTTATTTTTTTAACAACTTGTTCTCCAACTTTTTACTATTCCAAAACACATTTTCTTGAAAAAATGGAGCCCAACAGGGGCTTATTGTACTACTATACAAATTAGAGGAAATTCAATTAGAACACACGAATAGAAGAAATGACCAGTGGAGCCAAATAACCTGCAAGCCCAGCCCCCATCTTCCCCATACCAGGGGCAGAGGCAGGATTTATCCAGTGGGCGCAGGATTGACAATAACACAAGGATATTTAAAATGTTACAATACTTTTTTCAATACATTATATTATTTCATACGGATTTTCGAATATTAAAAGGACAGTATAATGATCTCATAGAAAATACTATCTCCACTAGCAGTGGCAACTGGAAATATATAGTTTTTTGTTATTGCCTCGTATTAAATTCAATTGTGCTGTATTTGAATAATTTCACATATTCTTTGTTTTGCAACCAATAAACAGGAATCAAAACTTTAGGATATAATAATCGTATTTTGGCCCATATAATGAACTCATAGAATAAGTCAATAAGAAAATATCTAAATTTGAGTTCCACGAAACAAAATTCAGTGAGCATGTACTTTATATAATGTTGATGATCAAAACAAGTATTGCTTGTTAAAATTAAAATAAAACTATCCAAATCTACATCAGAAAATCAGATAAAAGGAACAAAAGAGGAAAATTGGGACTTGGCATAAGTTAGGACAGATAGGGGGAATAAATTGACAAATTACATGGGGGAAGGGGGTGATAGGACTTGATGGACTTAATGTAGCTTTCTTCCCCTTAGAAAGTTCAGGGGGAGCAATTGTCCCCACCTAGTCATAAGTGCCTCCACAGCCCCACACCACCCCTAAAAGGTTCCAGAGGTCCTTCTAGTCGCTTACTTAAATGCCTAGACAGTATGGGAAATCTTTTACACAAGGGCAATTGATAAAGAAAGGCAGATTAATGAGGTACTTGAAAACTTTCCCCAAATTGATCAAGGTATAATTTGCACAAGCAAATAACTATCAGACTATTTTCTATTTAGCAACATCTATATTTTCGAAAAACAGAAAACCTGCCAACCGCCAAACAGGTTATCATGCAGGTGCTCCAAGAAAGGCATTATATACTTATAAAACCACAAGCAAGCACAAACTACTCAGAATCAACTGCTACTCCGCAACAAGAATGGGAATGCTCGAAAGGTTGAAATATAGTGAAAATATTTATAGATGTGAAGGATAAAAAAGGACAAAGGGAACCTGGAAGTGAGGAGGGAAAGGACGTGGAAAGGATAAAGAAGACCGCAGGAGACGGCCTGATGGAGGAATTTCCACATGGAAGGGTTGTTGTTGGAAAAACAGAGCTGGGCCACTACTACTTCTGCTAAGTCCGTGCTGGGCAGTCCCCCGCTCATTCCCGCCAGGCGTTTCGCCAACTCCATTGCCCACTCCAGAGGCGTCTCATTCCCCACCGGGTATGTTTTCACCGTCATCGCCACCAGCCGCTCCAATTCCGACCTCTGCATCTGCCTCTCCAGTTGACTCCCCATTTACAAATAAAAATTGAACCGACTGTAATCGTTACAGTACAAGTTGCGGCAAATACAGGATAGAAATTTGAAATCAGTTGTCAAAAGATAAAATTGAACGTGGCAGGATATCACATATTACATTAATTGCAAATCACAGGGTATAGCTCAGAAGAAACGGCGCCATAATTGAGGGCAGCCTGCAAATCATCATTTATGTGGACTCGTTCGGCTAAGTTTGAAGGAAAATTTGAATTACGATGTGCTATTTTTTAATACTTGAGTTTGAATAATTGAAGAAAGAGTGTTGGATATCAATTACTTGTGAGGACTTCTTTGGATAAAACGGTCGCTAAGTTATCTAAAATCCACAAAACGGTCACTGAAGTTTAAAAGTTGTAGAAACGATCACTTAAATTACTTTCACAAACGGTCACTGAATTTTTAGATTTTTTGGGCAAGTTTTGCGACAATTTTCCGACAACTTCCCACCACCAATACCTCCAGTTTTGGATATTGTTGGAAAGCCCACAATGTCCTCTTCAATTACCACGAAAACTCTCTCCATAACTCCAAGGGATTCGGTCGGAATAAACACACGAAGTCAGCTACCAAATCCGAATCCGTTAGAGTTATGGGAAGATTTTTCGTGGTAATTGAAGAGGACATTGTGGGCTTTCCAACGGTATCCGAAATTGGCGATATTGGTGGTCAGAAGTTGTCGAAAAATTGCCGCAAACTCGCCCAAAAAATCTGAAAATCTGGGCAAATTTTCAGATTTTTCGGTAGCCGACTTCATGGGTATATNTTTTGATGGTATTTGAAGAGAACATTATGGGATTTCCTACGGTATCCAAATCCGGCGGTTTTGATGGGCGGAAGGTGTCGGAAAATTGTCACAAATCTTGCCCAAAAAATATGAAAATTCAGTGACCGTTTGTGAAAGAAATTTAAACTTCAGTGACCTTTTCTGCAAGTTTTAAATTTCAGTAACCATTTTATAAATTTTAGGTAACTTCAGTGACCGTTTGTGAAATTAACCCTTGGATAAAATAATTTCTTGTCAAAATTCGTCATCGGTAGGTGTTCTTCTTTTCTTTTTCTTATGGTCAAATTTCCCTTTTATTCCCGTATTTTTCTTCTTATTGGGATTTGATTGAAACTTGACTCTTATTTCTTGGTCAAAATAAAATTCGATCACCTTAGTCCAAATATGACATCATTTCAACTTGGAGTTACATACACTAACATAATAGAGCACTCCAGTTCACTGTATTCAAAATTGAGCATTTAACTACATTTCATTTTCACAGCGTGTAATTGTTGAAAATATTGTTCAAAAGTTAATAAAATTGGTTGTGGAATAAAAAATAGAACCCGAGGCCAGAAGGATGATCTATGCGACCGCATAGGCCACTATGGCATGCGGTCGCATAGCTATATACCGGGACTAAAGGCCCTATGACTGCATTAGTTATGTGGTCGCATGCGCATAGAGGAAGAAAATAGTCGTTTTATGGTCGTTGCTATTTGAATTTTGATGGTTTTTCATCTGATTTTGGCACCATTTCGTGAAAGACCATTGGTGCCTATATATAAGTTATCAAAGTTCAAAAGCAAAATAAAGAATATCATTCTTGAAAACATTTTTATTCCACACATCATTGAAATAAAAAATTCCTTCATACATATTTAAAAAATTTCCATTTTGTGTTCTTCAAGTTTTTGAAGATTTTCACTAGTGTTTAAGTGTTAAATCCTTTACAACACTTGATTAATCCTGCAAATCATTTGTCATAATCCCTTTAAGCATCATTTTCAATTCGATATGGGGCAAATATAGTTTGAGGACAGTAATTTCGTGTTCGGGCCTTCTTTTTCATATTCTCATTGATTTTTCTTTTTATTTTCTCCAATTTCTGGTTTTTTATTTTTTGCTTTCATCTTCATACCTCTTTGTGCACATTATATATTTTCAACTGTAATAATTCTCCAATTGATGAAAATTATCCCTTCAACAATTACTTCTCTTTGAGCGTTGAACAATTTTACCATTTAAGCCCCTATTTGTCCCTCATTAAATTAAAATTTATTTTTCTTTTTCTTTTTATCAACCGCACATTATTCAATAAAATAATATTACACGCAAATTTAAAAAAAAATCTTCTTTTTTAGCCACACATTTTCTAAAAAATTATTATTCCCCTCATGATAATTTACAACAATGGAGCCCAAACAAGGGCTAAAATTATATGTATTTTTGTGACCGTTGAATAAATGTGACCGGTGCATGATGCACCTAACCTTCTTCCTAACTTCTAAAGTTGCCTGGCTTGAAATTGAAAGTATTGTACTTGAATATTTTGAAGAAATTTTGTCCATGAAAAAGACATCTATCTACTAACCTTCATCCATCTTATGGTATGATAATAAATGCCAAGAGCCGCCTCTAGGGCATAGCTCAGTGGTGCAAAGGATAAGAATGTGGTAATCTCAATTGAGCTGGCAGCCGTAGTGTGAGGATTGAATTTCTGCCTCTTACAATGTATGAAATTGGACTCTTTGTGGACATCTGTATGACAGCTCTTGTACCCTGACCTGTTGAGATACATCTCGCGATTTAACTCATCCACAATACTCTAGGGACGGGACGGGGCTCAACCTTTAATAAATGTCAATAGCCGTGCAGGAAATATCATTTAGACAACTAAAATAATCAATTTCGCCAAATAATTAATTAGCTCTTATCATGAAATTATCTTAATAAGTAGATTTTAGTAAAATGATTGATTTTGAATGAAATCTATGTACCTTAATTCAGCATGTGGTATAAATTATAATAGTAAATGTCAAGACCGACGGCTAGGAGATATCTTCTCCTTTTGGTTTCAATTTTTTCTTCTAAAATTTTATTTTTTCAAGGTTAAACATTATTTTTAATCACGTGTTCGATTAGATTCACAAGTACTATACTTATCAATACTTATTTATTGAAAAGCCCTTTTAGCAAATAAATATCTTCTCCCTTTGAGCCGGTTTGTTTTCTCTGTTTTTCTAGAACAGCTCCATAGATTGTCTGTTTGTTCCTTAGTGAGGTGTTTGGTTAAGGTTTTGCGTTCACTGTTCTGTTCTCCTTAGTATTGGGGCCCTTTTGTGTCTATTTCATGTATTGAAATAATAATTTCCCATTATTTAATTTAGTTAATGAGTTTTAAAATACTTTTGTAATTAAATGTAATTTTTTAATAGTGTAAATATATAGATATTATTTTATCAAAATTATTTTATTATTTTCGGTACAACCCTATTTGAATGTGAAACCTTTTGACACCTAGTTTGTTATTTTATTTATTTATTTTTGTGTCGGTTTTGAAAACGTAGATCTGGTAAGTAGAATTTGCCCATGTTCAAGCCTCATTTTTTCTTTTTCTTTTTTGGAGAATGCGTGTTTAAAAAAGTGGGGAAGAAATTTTGAGTTCACGTACAAAATTATTTGGGAAAATTTCACATTCAAGATAATAATTTAGCATTTTTCAAAAATAAGAAAACAAGTTTAAAATTTCCAAAATAGATTTTTATTAAAAATTTTTAAATTTTTATTTATAAAATAATAAATTATTAAATTAACTTATTATTAAATATTTAATTCTAATATAATATAATTAATCCATCCCACCTTCACCACCCCTACCGCTCCGGCGACCGTTCCGGTCACCTCTCTACTCCGGCAAACTTTCCGACACTATTCCGGTAACTTCCCGAAAACTGATCCGACGAACTTTCCGTGACTTTTTCGATTTCGCCAATTATTTATATTATTAATTAAATATTTAGTTATTTTATTAATTAAATATAACGATGTTACAATTATACAATTAATGGTCACATATACATAATTAATTGGTCACAGATTATTTTTGAGGTCACAAATCAAAAAATTTATAGGTCACGATTTTTTTTATTGGTCACAGATCAAAAATTTTGTAGGTCACAGATTATTTCGAGATCACAAATCATGTCACATATTATTTTATTGGTCACACATCAAAAAATTACAGGTCACAGTTATCTATCAGTCACATATTTTCAAATTTATTGGTCACAGATTAATTTTTAGTCACAATTTTAAGGTCACTGTTAGAATTTTTTTTTTTTATGACCACCACCAATTTCTGTGACCACCTCCGTCACAAATTAAATTTTTAGTCACAATTTTAAGGTCACAACCACCGAATTCTGTGACCACCCTTGTGACTACCAAAAATAACTGTCGCAAAAAACCACCTACAAACACCACCACACCACCAATTGCAACGGGATCTGAATCTGTACTCGCAGCTCTACCGCCACCACCACCAATACCAACATCAACACTATATTTTCTCTCATGAGCAGCAGCAGCATCTCCAAACCTACCACTGTGATGTTGCAACCACCATTATCATACACCGCAACCCACATCTCCACCACATCGCCTCCGCCAAATCTTCCACCCCTCGCTAGTAAGCATCCAACTCCACACACTCATACCTCAAATCAACAGCCCAATTGACCAATTACACATTACCATTTCCGTCGTACCTCTTCATCCACAAAGTCCCCCACCGTCGACTCAAAATTAAAAAAAGAAGAAGAAGAATAATGGTCGGCGATGCTGTTGAGAACTCTCAGCAGCCCTCGATGACTGTCATGTGCGGGGAGATCGAAGCGCCGCTGCACAGTGATCAAATAATTAGCCTTCTCCAAGCAACGCAGCGCCCAACGACGTGGTTGGTGCAGGTGGTGGTGGAGCTGCGTCCAACGAAGTAGTGCCGACGACTTTCCTCCCGACGGAGCTACGTTTTTGGGGGTAGTGAGAGAGAGAGGGTAGTGATCGAAAATGAATTGGGGTTTTTTTTATGAAAATTGTATAATTAATAATTAATAGTTAATAATAAAATATCTGATTTTTGAATAGTTAAACATTCCACCTGATTTTTGTATATCCTACAATACATAAAAGAGGGAAGTTATAGTTACTGTTCCTAAGCTAAATGGCCAATTTTGTAGCCAGCCGTTTAGTCCAGCCATCGAAGTCGAGCCGGAAGAGAGGAGATATTTTTTTCCATTTTACTTTTGCCATTTGTTCTCTCAATTTCTTTGTACGCTTTCCCCTCTCTCTCTCTCTGGGTTTTTCCATTTTTACACGCAAAGTTTGTACCCTTTCTCCATTTTTCCACTCCACCGGCCACTCCTCTTTACTCCTCCTCCTTCATTTCCCTTTCCACCCCACACAACTACCCATGTCTCTTTCCCTTTTCATTGACTGCGACATAGACTTTGGCGACAAGGAGGAAGAAGACGAAGATGAAAAAGAAGAAGGATCTGTCACGGCGGCCAGCGCAACAGAGGAGGGCTCAAGCACGAAACTGGAAAACTTCAAGGCCAAGGTCAATTCCCTAACTTTCCTTTTCACTTTTCCTTTCCTTTTCCATTTCCCTTCTCCTTCCCCTCGAAGAGCAGTCCCAAAACTGCTGATTATTCAATTTTATAAACATGACCCTAATTTTCAATGACAGCTTTGAATAGCTTTAGATCCTTGATCGATGGAGTATATCAATGTCCATGTTTCAAGGGGACTTTGAGAGCAATGCTAAATTGAAGCTGAAAATATAAGCTATCGCAAAGAATTGGGTAGAATCTATAAAGTATATGTTCCTTTTGGATATGTAGTTATTACTTCAGAACTTCCAGAAACGAGAAGACATTAATTCAACATGAAACTGAAGTACTTATTTTTCATGCTTTGTTTGAAAAAATAAGCATACGGAACCTTACGTTGTTCATCTTTCTCTGTTTTATTGTGTGTTTCAGCTTAAATTTTGTTTGCTATTATTTATTAAGAGCAATCACGTTTCTTCCATGAGATTTGCTTTCTTGGCCAAAATCTCTCTGCTATTAGTTCTTAAACCATTTATCGATACACCTGATTTTTGTTATTCAACCATTTGAATTATTTTATCTCCTAACAGCCTCCCTTTTCGTTCTATAGCTGGTGTTAGTTGCATACCTATAGTAGATGACGGTGATTTCTTGATGGATATATACTATGGAAGGTTGGCCTTTTCTAGCTGCACACATATATTCTATTTTATTTTATTGCTATTTATTTTAGTTCGGTTGTACCTTCATGAAAGATTAGTAAATGATTTTTGTTTCATGGCAGTGATATCACTGCTTTGGCGAAAGACAGTGCGTATGCACAGATTCCTCTCGATGACTTGAATGTTCATCAGGTACTTGCTTAGAAGCTTGTTATGTTGTATGATATGCATTTAAGATGCAAATCCTAGGTAGCTCTAGAATTAGTGAATGAATGTAGAACTTGAAAATATTCCTTCAGATATCCAATTATGATCTTTTATATATGCTCACCTCTCATTTCTTCCAAAGAGAATGAAACATTAGAAATAGTAAAATGGGACTAATCTGACTATATATCTCCCTGTAGATAAAATAGCATAATTTAGTATAATTGATGCATAGCTAAATGGAGTAACAAGTTATGTACTGAAATTACTAAGAAGGATGGTCGTAGCAAATCAATTGAACGTATGGGTGGGGTAATTTCAGCTAATAAGTATAAGCAAAATCAAAGAGGTAGAAACATGTAAGAGATAAGAAAAGGTGTAGGGTACCTTACTCCTGGCTTATTTTTTTCCATTCCAAATTGAAGGATTGAAGAAGGTAGTGGACTTGATTGAACTCAAATAAGTTTTATCCCTTTCTTATCTTGCATGGCTATTCCTCTCGATACTCTGGTTGAGGCTCAGCACATACTAAATATAGTGTTCGTTAAGCCCATCCTTTATGCTTACTATATTCTCCTTAGGCGATTTCTCTTTTTCTATTTATATGTTTTCGGACACTTGTACTTTTAATCATTAACTCATTGTTAAATGAAATTAATTTTTGTTTCTATATATATTCTCTTCTGCAAGTTTTACAACTTGGTCAAGATGCAAGTTCCCCATATGGCTTCTTTAATGGTCAGAGATGCCAGATATGTTTAAGGTCTGATCCTTTGCAAAAAGTGATGGAGAGGCTGGCAACTCCTGGTAATTTATTATGTCTTGTCTTTTCTATGCTTACTGTTTTTAGTTCTTTGCTTTTGTGATAATTATTTGAGTATGAATTTGGTAGATACCTGGCTCACCGGGAATTTCACTTTAATTTATCTTTGTATATATTCTTTAACCTAATTATGTTGATCTCCCTTTAGGGTGTCATAATTCCATTGGACCTGTTCCAACTTTCAATCGTGGAATTGAGATTTTTCTTTTTCTTTTTTTCTCCTTTCATTTTATATTTTTGAATGGGGGTGGAGGAGAGACGGGGCTGTGGTAATTAATTTTAGAATTTGATTTGGGATTATGACTCAGTTTAGGCTATGTGTGTGAGGCACTTGGACTACTACTAATGCAGAGCACACTCTGTTTATTTCTTTGTTTACAGTAAGGCTCAAGTTATTATTATAAAAATTCCTGGATGAGCTTATTTATCTATTCACATGTATTGCAAATACACAGTAACCACTTCTCATTTATCTATACTATGATGAGATAATTATTCTATGTCTTGATTTTAGTTTCATCATAATGGCTAAAGAAATAAATAGCATCGTTCTGCAGATTTCTTATTAATTTACATTTGCACATATATCATGTGATTCAATTAACATTCGATAAGTTGCTTTTATGATTATAAATATTACGTGCATCTCAGGAGTACTCTCATGCCTGTTTTGTAAATGCACTAACTCCTTCAAATAAATTTAGCAGTTGCTGTGATTGTTTTTTATTGGTTTTCCCCACTTGAGCTATGAACTTGCTGTTCCATGTATATTTATGCAAATGTGAATGTTGCTGTTATCTAGCTGCTTAGGCCAGTTCAATCTTTTTGTAATTTCTGTTAACCTTAATATATTGCATAATTTCTCCAATTTCATGTATGTCATTACAAAAGCTTTATGTATAGTATTATTGATGACATTCTTTTCCGTGTTTGACGTCCCCATCTTTTGGCGCATCTTATTGTGCCAATGGATTGTTCTTTTTGCACTCACAATGAGGCGTCAAGCCACGCACATGATCAAGTACAAATATATTCCATTCAACATTGGAAAGCAGGTGAGTCGAAGAAATTTATATTAGTAGTTGAGAAAACTCTTCTTGATACATAATGTCATGCTCTGGTAGACATTCATTGAATAAAATTTTAACTTTTTTACTTTTTTACTAATATTGTCGAAATTGTCTAATCTACCTGGCAAACCTACTATAAAAACATTGCTTACGATATACCTTTTCTTTTTCTGTTATATATATATATATATATATATATACCTTTTCTAAACAAGCTAGGCATGTCTCCATGCTTAAAGGAGACACGACCCGTGTCTCCGTGGCCATGTTTTTTTTTTTTTTTTTTAAAAAAAATTTTGAACATTTTGAGTAGCACAAAATACGCGGAGCAAGGCATCGTTAGGTGGTGTATTTATTTACCGATTTCTTCAAATGTCGTTTTTAATATCAAGTTCCTTTTTTAGCCTACAATTTCTGACCCCAAAATATGTACAATTATGCTTTAGGGACTGTTAGAGTTACGATGTTGTGTATGTGCTTTTAATTTCCTTTTTAAATGGCCATTGAATATGGTTGTCTTGTTAAGCATGAGCTTATCGCTAATTTTTTTTTTCTCTTCTTGCAAAATCAAATTCTAACTACCCACAGTTTGTTATTTTGATGACAAACCTAATCTGGACTTCATTTTGATGGTATGGTAGTGAATGACTATGTGTATTGTGCTTCTCCCCAGTTATTTTGAGGCTGCAATGGAGGGTTTGGTAATGCTTAGTGAAATAGTAGAGGAGGGAAATGTTGGGTTTAGTGAGAATAGGAGTAAAATTGGTGCCTTTTTGGATCTGAATGAAGAGGAGATCAGAGAGAATAGTTCAAGTACTGATTTTCTGGCTTCTGAAATTACTAGGAATGATGAGAACGATAGTTCTAAGGATTCTTCTTCACCCCC